TGAGCAAAAATAATGGTTTTAATGAAAACAAAATACAACATGACATTTGGTAAGTACCAAGATATATAACATGGTAAATGCATAATTAAAAACAAAAAGGTTTATTTTGACATGTTTTACCAATTATCTGGCATAAGTAAAAAACATTTTACAAGAAAGAAATCTAGTTTAACAATCTGAAATGCAATTTATATGAATGCTTAACTTTTACATTAACTGTATCATTATAAAAAAAGATTTTAAATTTCAACTTAGTTTTTTTGTTTTTTTTCTTTCTTTCTATGGTTTACATATCGTATATTGTTTCAGTATAAATCTAGTAAGCAAAGGTGGGGATATATTGAGAGATAATAGAGAACTATTTATTGATAACATTCTCTTTCCTCAAACAAATTTACACAATTTTTCTTAAACTCATATATGCATCTACAGTGGAGCACAGAAAAGTTATCACTCCGCAACACTTCCCAACATCTGACCAAACATCAATTTTTTTTTTATTTTTGGAGGGGGGGGGAGAGGACACTCCCTCAGAAGTAAGCCTGGTTCAGCAAAAGAAGCAAAAAAATAAAGTAAAATGTTGGTCATACAATACAGTCCTCACATTATGTGTGTGTGCACATATATATATATATATATATATATATATATATATATATATATATACACATACATACACACAGGAATAATGGATAGGATCAAGAGCTGATTTTGAATTTCGCTAGAGTTCATTACATTCATGTAATGGGATTGGTTTAGCTAATTAGCATAAAAAGAGCTATAACTGTAGCTCACAGGCAACTTTGAGTCAGTGTACATAGAATATCTACGGCTACTAAGTTTGATCATCATAACAAAGTGATATCACCTGACGGAGTTCTCTCTACTGAACACAGAAGTACTTGAAAACGTAAAGATTTGGATAAAATGCTTTGAGGCACGTGCCAGAATAAAGTTACAAGATGACCAAACACCTGGAAGACAGAAAGAAATCACAGATCTATTTTTGGCCACTGCAGGATTTGAAGCCATTAGGCAGATTTTGTTAATGACTTACCCGGCTGAATTTGAAAACTTGACATTTAAGGAAGCCAAAGAAATAATATTGGGAAATATTTGACCAAAGAAAAGATTGGTCATAACCAAAAAAACCAAATTCTTAGCACCGAGACAAGAATTTGGGGAGTCTATAAGGAAATATCTAAGAAGGTTAAGAGATACAAGCAGATATTGTGAATTTCATGAACTAGAACAATAAGGAATAAGAAAAGAGGAAGAATTAATTCAACTCCGATTGGTAGAAAGACTGTACAGCACCTCTCATAGAGTAAAAATTTTAGAGAGACTACAAACAAACCAAATGACTTTAGAAGCTTGTATTGACTTCATACAACAAGAAGAGGTAATTGAAAAATTTAATACAAATGAAAACCAACCTGAGCTTATGGACACATGTGCAATAAAAAGAACAATGATAAAATACAGATATTGCAACCATAAACATGAATCAAAAAGGAATAAATGTCAAGCATGGGGACATACATGTAATAAGTGCAAAAAGAAAAATCACTTTCAATTTGTATGTAGATGATGAGATACCAATGTAAAAACTGTAGAAATAATACACAACACTGTAAAAATTCAAACAAACATTCTTTCATTAAAAAGGAGAAACAAAAAGTTATATCATCCAGAATATTAAGATGGGCTATGAAGTTAATGGCTTTTGATTATAATACAGAATAAATGAAGGGAAATACAATACTACATGTACAGGTGCTGTTCCGACTACAATTTGAAAAAGAACAAAATGAAAAGGATAAATTTTTGTATTGGTTGGAAAGGGATGTGCTGCCCATGAACAGACAAGTCATGGAGACGTTACAAGATCCAATCTTAAGTCAAATTTTATCTAGAATAAGGAACAATAAATGGAGTAATTATTTGAAATCAGAAAGACCATACAAAGAAACCAGACACAAGCTATCAATAAAAAATGGTCTAATTTGTAGAGGGAATTTAGTCAGACCACTAGATTTGGTTTGTTTTACGGCATATCAACCTTAATTGGTCATTTAATGCTGACACCTTTTTTTTTCCTGGTAATATTTTTTTCCTCAAAAACGTATAGCTGGTAATATTACTTTTTTCAAATACGTATAGCTGGTAATATTTTTTTCAAATACATATTGCTGGTAATATTATTTTTTCAAAAACGTATAGCTGAAAATTTATTTCTGGTAATTTTCACAAAATATTTCTGGTATTAAAACCTATTTTTACACTATTATAATGCTTTTTACCTCAGTTTCAGGGTTAACTATTTGCCCATAGCTGGGACCCTAAAAGGTGCTACCACATCGTCAGACCACTAGAAAAATGTAAAAAAAAGTAATTAAAAGTGTACATTATGATGTGCACTGTGGGATAACCACTACAAAAAAACGGTTAAAACTGGAAACGTGGTTGCCAGGATACACCCAAGATGTGGAGAATTACA